CCCAACGCGGCAAAAATGACGCGGGAGGCATCACAAAACAGCATGAGTGACAGGTCGATGAGACCTGCGGTAGGCTGGACAGGATTTTTTGGTCAGCGGCCACGAGACAAGGGTCAAGCGGCGAAGGCAACGTCCGGGCTACGGGCGAGGCTAATTGCTAAGCAGAGCGCCGGCCGGCCCACTCAGACGGCGGCTGCAGGCCGGGTGACGCTGAACTGGCTGGCGTACTGCAAGCACGGGCACGGGCACTGGACAAAATGACCAGGACTCGAGTGGCCAACGCATTCGGTGCCAGCCACAGTATGAGACGTGAACCAGGAGAACCAAGCCCGTCAATCTAAGTGGGGGCCAATGCGAGGCCGGTGGAGTGAGTCGCCGGTGGGGCGCCGGGCTCCACACGCCCTGGACGACGCGTGCTAGCTAGGGGGGCTGAGCTGCCGCGGGACGCGGTGCAACGCAACCTGCCAGAAGCTGGTGGTGAGCCTGGGGTGCTGCAGCTGCCGCGGCAGGCTGAACAACTCCGAGGCGATACCACCAACTGTCAGACGATCCCACAGTGCAAGGGGGCACCAAGCGACTGCGGGCCACGCAGCGCGTGCCAGCATGGCGTCAGGCCTTGGAGGGAGGGGCGGGGGGCCAGCTGGCGCGGTGAGCATCGCCAGCGTGGAGAGAAAGGGCGGGGGCGGCACTGGTGGTAGTGCAGCCCCCTGGAGGACACCAACCTGGACCGGGGACGGGCGTACCCCAAGTGAACAGACCTGGCTGAACCTCCCGATGCACGTGGCGCATGCGAGCCAGGCGCACCGATGCCCTAAGGCGAGAGGCGCCTGTGCGAGGGGGCGAGCCGATGACATAGGGCGATGCCATGGGGGAGCTGCACTGTGGTAGACACGAGGGCCAGGGGGCAAAGTCTGACCCAGACCACCGCTTGGCCCATCCGCCCAAGACCCTGGGAACGACAACACAAACCACGGGGTCCTCCAGGGCCGCAGCTAGCCACCGCCGAGACTGATGAGCCAGACCACGGGCAGCGGGGAGCACGGGCAGCCCTGGGGGGGGGGCAACCACGCCGACGTCTGCAGTACGTCAGGCGGGACCCGGGGCCAAGGGCGGGGAACACCCGCCTGGCCCGAGGGGAGAAGCGAGGGGAAGCAACGCCTCCCCCCTCAGACTGGCCCCGGATCCGTGGGGCAAGGGCCATGGTCATTCTCGGGGGTCGCAGCTGATCGCCGCTATGATCTCTCTTTTCATCTCCACGGGAGTCGCAGCTGATCGCCGCTATGATCTCTCTTTCATCTCATCGGGGGTCGCAGCTGATCGCCACTATGATCTCTATTTGATGGTTGGTGTCTCCGTTTGTCGGTCCGCCACTCTCTTCCATTTCCTCGGGGGTCGCAGCTGATCGCCGCTATGATCTCTATTTGATGGTGGGTGTCTCCGACTGTTGGCCCTCCAGGGTCGCATCAGCCGTCGCAGATGTGAACCTGCAGGGGGACCAGACAGTGGTGGTGGTAGGTCCTCGGGGGGCGCAGCTGATCGCCGCATGAGTCTGCATGTGACAGAGAGGTGACCGGGCAGGGACGCGCTCACCGCCAAGCAGACGGGGGGGAGGCTGAGGCCCACTTCCTGCCACAGGGCAGGAAGTGGGCCACGGCATCCCCCCCGCCTGCCTGGCGACACAGCGCCTGCTGCCATTGTCCGCCCTTCACGCACACTCAGATCCCACTGCTGTAACTGATCACGGCGGGCTCCAATGCCGCCTGCCGTATTTTGCCGGGCAGCGACAGGGCCTGCTGCCAGCGCCCACCCTTCTCTCACCTGATCCCCGCGCTGCAACTGATGACAGCGGGCTCCAATTTAGCTCCCCACGCTCCAGCAATAGCGCTGGAGCACGTTCCCACCCCCGTTTAGCGGACAACGATGCGCACCAGCTCAACCTCTGAAACCCACTGAGCAGCGACAGTGCGAGTTGCCATTGCTCACCCCTGGCGCACGCGCTGCCCCCGCGCTGTAGCTCACAGCGTCCAGCTCGCACCTCGCACCTCGTGCGCGACGCCTCTGCAGCTCCCCGCATGGACCCGGGGACGCGGCAACCGCCGAGCGTGGACGGGGGGGTGGACGGGGGGTGGCGAGCCCTGGGTGGACGGAGCGATCACGGGGGGGGGGCCAGTAACGGCCCTTGGCGGCCGGCACCGGGATGCAAGAGTACCTCGAGCCCCCGTGGAAGGCCCCGGGCCCGTAGCCTCGGCAGCCCCCCGCGTGCATCCCGGAACGTGTTGTGGTCCTCCAGGATCGCCGCTAACCGCCGCTGATGTTTGTGAGCCTGTGGAGTGACAAACCGCAGCGGAAGTGCACAGAGGGGGGGTCGTGCCCGTAGTGTCAGCTGTTCCCCGCGTGGACCCAGGGTCGCAGCATGCCGCCGTTCTGGGTTGGGTGAAAGCGGAGCACCCAAGGACTGACACGCAGGGGGCGGTGCTGTCACCCCGGAGCCCGACGCATCCATGGGGGGGTGTGGTGTGGTGGACCCCCAAGGAGCCGCTGACCGCGGCACTCCTGCACTTCCCTGATCACCTCTCAAGCGGCTGCTCCTGAAGCTTCTGCTGCTGCTGCTGCAATTGGTGCTGCTGTGGCTGCTGTTGCTGTAGCTGCTGCTGCAGCTGCAGCTGCTGCTGCAGGTGCTGCTGCTGTTGCAGCTGCAGCTGCCGCTGCGGCTGCGGCAGTTGTTGCTGCTGCCGCCGCTGCTGCCGCTGCTGCTGCTGCTGCAGGTGCAGCTGCAGCTGCTGCTGCTGCTGCTGAGCGGCCGCCGCGGCTGCTGCCGCCGCCGCCGCGCCCGCGTCGCCCGCGTCGCCCGCGGCGCCCGCGGCGCAGGGGGGCCCGGGGGGGCGGACGCCGGCGGCGGCCGCGGCTCCAGCGGCGCCCGCGGCGTCGGCGGCGCCCGCGGCGCCCGCGGCGCCCGCGGCGCAGGGGGGCCTGGGCCGCGGGCGGCCGCGGCTCCAGCTGCGCCCGCGGCGCCAGCGGCGCCCGCGGCGCCCGCGGCGCCCGCCGCCGCGCGGGGGAGGCGGCGGCGGCGGCAGCAGCAGCAGCGGCCGCCGGGCAGGGCCCAGGCCAGGCGGCCCGCTGCAGGCGGCGACAGCCAGGCCCGCGGCGCCGCCGCCGCCAGCCGCCGCGCGCGCGCTAGCCTCCAGGGGGAGGCGGCAGCGGCGGCGGCAGCAGCAGCAGCCAGGGGCGGGCCCGGCCCGCGGCAGCCAGGTCCGCCCGCCGCCGCGCGCACGCCAGCCTCCAGGAGGGAGGCGGCGGCGGCGGCGGCGGCAGCAGCAGCGGCCGCCGGGAGCGGGCCCAGGCCAGGCGGCCCGCCGCGGGCAGCAGCAGGGCGGCGCCGGCGCCGAGGCCAACGCGGCAGGCCGGGCGCGGCGCGCACCTGGACCCGGGGGGGCTTGAGCCAGGGGGGGCTTGAGCCAGGGGGGGCTTGAGCCAGAAGGGCTACGGAACTGGTGAGGATACGCGAAGCGTCAAGATTTCGGCCCAGGTTTCCCAGTCCGCTTCCAGCCAGACAATATTCGAGGTGTTGTCCTCAATCGTCGCACGCACGATTAGCTTGTCCCCCGATTTCATGGTGTCGGTGTACGAGTGAGCCTTGATATAGCGTTGTTCGAATCCCCATTGTGTCAGCACGTATCGTAAGCCGAGCAGTAGTGCGGAGACACGAGTTGTTTCCGCACTACTGCTCTAGCAATCGTGACGTCGAGACTGCAGCATACTCGGTTGTTGTCGGCTCCGGCCTGGCAGCAACCTCTTGAAGATGCGTTTGGGTGAGTTGTGCCATGCTTGAAGTGCCAAACTGCAGCAATAAGATGCCCTCGAATCCTCATCCCTCCCTTCCAGCTGCTGAAGCCAGAGCCACTCGCGATGGTTGCACGTGAGGGCGCAAGGAATGCGCGAGGAGCCTGCCAGAGAAAGAACGATCAGAAGGGGGGAAGGACTCCAGAGACCACCCACCCCATCCCGTCCGCCCTCCCTCCCTCACGCCAGCCCCCATCATCCTCATCACATTGCTCATTGCCATCCTCATATTCGTCCTCGTCCCTGCTGCTGCGCAATGGCGGCATAGATCGATCGGCAATGCAAGCTCGTTCAAAAATTCGAACTGACCTGATATACTACATCACTGCAAGGTCCTGCAGGAGCTAGAACCACAGTCGTTGCAACGGCCAGGGCAAAGATGGTGGAAATGATGTTTTCTGGAAGGACAGCCCAACAAGTCCCGCCGCCCAAATTCACTCCGACCGCCTCGTCATCATCATCCTCTTCCTCCCCTCTTCCTCCTCCACCACCTCCTCCAACTCCTACTCCTCGTCCTCCTCCACCACCTCCTCCTACTCCTACTCCTCGTCCTCCTCCTCCTGCTCCTCCTCCTCCTCCTCCTCCTCCTCCTCCTCCTCCTCCTCCTCCTCCTCCTCCTCCCTGCTCCCCGTCACCCCCTAGCCTTATCACAAAAAAAAACTGTGTTCCATCTCCGTTCTGCTTTGCCACGCACTGATCACACATGCTTTCCCGCACCCTGTCACACTCGTCTGCCCCGCTCCACGCTGCGTTTCTGTCCCCCTGCTCTCAGGTGTTGCCACGCATCTCCCTGAATTCCCCTGCCCCGCCCAGCCGCGAGTGGTTTGATCTGCCCCCGTGTTATCATGTCCCCAGAGTAGACATAATTCTACATGTGTGTTCGTATGTTTCTGGACCAGTTCGTTTCCTCCACGCGCTTTCCAGGGGAAGGGGAGACACGGCGCCACCAGTCCCTCCAGGAGGAGCTCAGAGGAAAGTAAAGAGAAGGCATTGAAGGAAGTGAGTCTGCCCACACCCATCCTTCTGAATGGGCGTCTTGAACTACTGAATCACTCAGCGGGCGTCCAAGCAGCAACTAAAAATCACATGACCTGGAATCCTTCGTCCTTGAACCTTCACTCGACCACCATATGTGAGAGACGGAAAACAGAAGCGCTGTCCTGCATCCAAGCGCCGCGCAGCACCAGGCCTTTTTGCTGGTGAACATGGCGGCCTGACAACGCCTGGCACCCGTGCGAGCAGCCACCCGTCTTTCACGTGATCCACCGATCGCGCGCATGAGCAATCCCCAGGAGGGATCACGCGGTGACGCCTACGAGCCGATTTGCACAAGCCGATCGTGCCCATTTGCACAAGCCCATTTGCACAAGCCGATCGTGCCTGGCAACGTCCCCCACCTTGAGCTCCGTGCAAAAAGATACATCTTCTGTGCACGGTGCCGGATGCCAGGCGGGGCCTCGCAGTCGTTTAGGGTTATCGATGTGCAGAAACCACTGCATCAACATTAACGTTCGGAGGTCCGTGCGGACTTCCGGGAGGTCCAGTGCCGATCCAAGAAATCCGCGCGGACCACCGAAAGATTTTACGTATGTCTACGTTTTGTTGTTCAGTGGTCCGCCTCATCTGTCTTGTGTAAGATGTCACTTGAGAGGGCCTGGGTCCCTGGTGTTGGGGGTCTTTTGGGTGGCTGAGGATTTCTCGGGGGTCGCTCGGATCGCTTTGGGCGTTCAACCTCTTGCGAGTTTCTTTGCCAGGTGTTGTTTTGCGTTGCGCGGTTTGCCTGGTGTTGTGTTTGCATGTTGTTCGCTTTGCTATGTAACTAAGTGTGATGCGAAAATGCGTAATGCAAAACAATGATACGCGAGGATCTCAGATGCGCTGCTGCGTTTCAATATGAGACGACGTGCCGTACTATGCAACACGACGTAAAAGATCGACCATGTCACGCAGCACTGATCCATGATATGTGATGCAATTTCATGCGTTGTTGAATCATGATGTCAACGTCTACATGATGCTGCACATGATGCAATGCAATGTTAGGGTGTGGTGTGCCGTGCCATGCCGTACGACGCGGTGCTATGCATTTCTTGAAGACGCAAGATGTGTCGTACGACCCACGCTACGGAATGTGATCCAAGTGTAAAAAAACGCAGACCTTCCAATGGAAAAAGACCAGCATGATCCTAACGAAGACCCATGCGATCAAAGACGGTTACCAGGGGAACAAAAAGTGGCATAAACATTGCAACTCGAAGGTCCGCGCGGACCTCCGAGCCATTATGCTTATGCCACTTTTCGTTCCCCAATTACCAACAAAAACTGGCACCCCTTGAACGGCCCGAAATGGCCCCAGGAGGGCCAACAAAATCCCACTGAGGAAAGCTTCTGCGATTCCAGGTTGGCCCCGTGCGCGCCCGCGCCCGGGCCCGACGTCCAGGACAAAGAAAGACAACCGACGACGACGACGACGACGACGACGACGACGACGACAACGACCGACGACGACGACGACGACGACGAACACAAAGGACGACGGCGAGGACGACGAACAACACGACGACGGCGACGGACGAACGCAGCTACGCGAACGAAAACGCAAACGACGACGACGACGACGTGAACGACGATAACGACGTCGACGTCGTCGACGACGTCGGCGACTACCACAGCGGCGGCTGCAGCCGCCCGCGCTGGAGCGGGAGCGGCGAAACTCATGCAGCGCGCCGCCCTGCGCTGTGCGCTGACGGGGGCAGGGGATCCACCCACGCCCGGCGAGGAGCCATCCTCCCGCGGGAAGGTCGCAGCGGAGGTGGAGACGCGTAGTTAAGGCCGGCACGCGGGAGGTGGTGATGGGGACCTGGCGCAGCTCAACCCCGGCCCTCTGGGCGGTGCAGGTCTGGCGGGGTGAGAGGACCCCGTCAGCAGGCTGGGATATGCATGGTCGCGGGCAGCACCCTAGGCAGGTTTCGTCGCAGTGAGCCCAGGCGTCGTGGGAAGGTGGATGTGGTCCAGGCTGCTCTTCAAGGTCTGGGTCGTCGGCGGGCTGATCGCTGGTCCTGTCAGTGACGATGCCTGCTCGAACGAGGTTCGCAGAGGTGTCAGGTTAAGTGGTGGGTGATTGAGGGCAACCGCGCAGCGGCACGCGACCTGGTGGAGCGCGTCGGCGAGGACCTTGGAGTGGCTTCCCCGTTGGAGAATGGCTCTGGCGATCGCGTGCGGGGAGTTGTCTGGTCGGACCAGTTGCCATGCGAGCGCGACGGCGAGCACCAGGTCCAAAAGTGCTCGGCGCTGGCCCCTCCTTGTCCGCACAGGGGGCAGCAGCCGTAGGTACGGGTGGGCACAGGGGGAGGGTGGAGTGGTGGGTTGTTTCGCCTAATGAGGCGCCGGGTGGCGGTCAGTCTTCGGGGTACACTGTCGGCCGCAAGCGCGGCCCTCTTGGCGTCCACCAGGCCCCAGGGCCCGAGGCACTCTTCGCACCAGGCTTGGCCTGGCGCGTCGCTTTCAGCGGCGTGCCAGACGGACTTGCCGGGAGAGTTGCACGAGGAACGCCGAAGCGGTAGTCGGTCCTGCGCGGCCCTCCGTCTGGCTCGCCCGGAGAGCCCGTTGGCCAATATTCTAAGAATGTGATAGGCGGGCGTGCGCCAGCAGCTGCCATTCCTGACCGTCGCCAGGCGACCACCCTTGGCAGGAGACGCGCATCCATTGGCGGTAGTCGCTTGCGTGCTGTATGGCTGTATGGCCCAGGTCCCAACGTAGATGGCTCGGCCCAGCAGAGCCGGTCTTGGGGGGCTCTGTTTCGCGACGTGCTGCCGGATGACGAGCGCCGCCTTTGCAAGGGTGACTGGCGAGCGCGGTCGGCCGATGGCGTCTTGGGCCCAGTGCGTCTGGGCCCACCCCGCGTTCTTATGCCAGTGCCTGGCAGCCTCGGAATGGGCTGGGAGGGGGACCCACACGTAACGTAGCGCGCGGGGAAGGGGATGACAGCGGCGATGCGTGCGTTCCAGGCGGCAGCTCGGCGCGCAGGGGAGGCTCGGGCTTCGCGCAAGGCGAGAGCCAGAGTTCGCACCTTGGTCAGAGTCCTTGCCCAGGTGCCCTGCGCAAGTTCGTGGAGGCAGCTTGGGTCGAAACGTCCTCCCCTGGGAGCTCGGGCGCTGCTGCTTTTCGCGGAGATGGCAGTGCCCCAAGTACGACCACTGGGCCTCGACGCAGGAGCTGCCGAAGGGGGCTGCCCCCATGAACTGACTCACGCGGCCGCGCCGGGATCAAGCGCGGTTTTGAAGGAGCAGGTAGATTGTTGTCGCCACTCCCAGGAGCCTCGGACGGCGCGCTGTCCCCGAGACCTACCCGCAGAATGTCCTCGGCCAGTCGCGTGGGGAGGGCCGCGATGACCGTGACACCATCCCACGCGACCCAGGATGTCGAAGGAGTGGACGCCAGTACGCAGCAGACGTCGGGGCGAGGGGTGGGGCAGCGGTCAGCTGTGGCCGCGGATGCGGCGGCGATGACGGGGCCGCAGACTACGCACCAGAGCAGAGGGGATGCCGCGCCCCCCAAGCCGATGGATCTAGCCAGTCTTCTTCTGGGCCCGTGGCACTAGCCCTTGAGAGTCTGCACGCCCCGCTGCACTACAAGGTCTAGAAGGCCTCGTTGCAACCACAGGGGCAGGCCCCATCGCTCGAGCAGCATGGCAAGCCATTGAAGGGACAGTCTCTCGAAGGCTTTGTTCTGGTCGGCGAACAGCACTGCGGCGGCTGGGGAAGGACCCGCGCCCCGGGTGACGTCCGTGATGTAAGCGTCAACCGTGCGGGCGTGCCGCCCTAGGATGGAGGTCCAGGCGGCGCTAGGGTTCGGGGAGGAACGGCGGGGTTGCCGTCCCACGCGGTCAGTCGCTGCACTAAGGTTCGGCCCGCACAGCCCCCCTCTCTTGGCCGCCTGGCCGGCCGCGAGCTGGGGCTCTACCAAGGGCCCGAGCAGGTCGGCCAATGATGCGCCGAAGAGGCGTCGCATTCAGGTGGGGAGATGCAGGGGTCGGAGGTCACTAGGGCGCTCGGCGTTGCGAACATTGAGAATCCACACTAGCAGGTCGACCGAAGGGGCCTGATAGGACGGTGCCGAGCACTGAGGGATCGCGATCGGTCACGTACCACGCTTTTGCCAGGAGGCACGCGGCCAAGAGGACCCATGGGTGGCACACTTCGCAGGGTCCTCCACCGGCTCCAGGAGCACTGCCGGAGAGTCCAAGCACGACGGTCGCAAGCCTTCCCCACGTTGGCTAGGGGAGCGCTGGGAGCGAGACGGCCCGTTGCCAGAAAAGCTATCATCGACTAGGCGGCGGGCACCGTCGGGGAGGGGTGGGGCAGTTTGCCAGGTGTCAGGCTTGCTGCACCAGATGACTTGGTAAACTTCGGCATGTTCGCCCTTCCAGGTGGTCGTCCCTGACCTCTCGGAGGGAGCGCGTTTTCTTGAAGATGACTCTCCCGAGGCGGACGTGCGGCACCAGGAGTGCGCTCGGCGCCGGCTCCTCTTTGCCAGGGGGAGAGGAGGGCGGCTGTTCTCTGCTTATGGTCGGGTCTCCACCTTGCTGCCGAGGAGGCACTGCCCTCTGGGCCCAGGCCCCAGCCGTCCAACCCGCAGGAGTTCATCCAGGCGGCGACGGCGTCTGTTGGGCGACAGGACTCGCCACTAGCGGCGGCTTGGGCGAGCGTCCGCCCGGGGCACCTGGCGCGAGCTGTCTTGTCTCATCTTTTGCACCAAGGCTGGATCATCGCAGACAGTGCGCGTCGCCCAAAGAGGGCAATGCTGTGGTCGTAGGCAAGGGAAGTGTCCCCCGTTGCGCCGTGGTGGGGACGCGCCGATTCATCGCGTGAGCTCTCGGTGGTAACATCTTCGGCTGGGCGTCGTTCGGGCAGATGCCTGGATGCGGCAGCTCGCAGCCAGTTGGTGGGTTGCAGCAGGCCCGCGAGGTCCACCTGCGGGACCTGGTGGGTGGTTGGGTAGCGGGGTCGGCATAGATGAGGGCGCGAGGAAAGGTGGGTTCTCCAAGCTGTCCTGCTCCGGCATGAATCCGGCGGTGCTGGCGCGGCGATAAGAATGTCAATGCCTGCCTCGCCTCCCTTGCCAAGTCTGGCGGGCCCGTCCATGGCGACGCGGTGCTCGGAGCGGGCTGAGAGCAGCGTCATCCACGCGCTGAATACCGTCAGTCTCACCTTCTCTGCAATAATTTCCATTGTAGGTTGACGTTTCCCCCCAGAACGCAAGGAGGCTTTCGCCTCGGGGGAAAGCATCGCTGAGCGCCGCAAGGGTCTCGCTCTGTAGACCTGGAGGGAGATAGATGGAGATGAAGCGGTACGACTGGTCCTCCGTCCGAGCAGTTACCGCTAGGACTTTGCCAGGGACGAGCT